AAAAAAAAAAAAAAAATAAAAACAAAATAAAATAAATGGTAAAGAGGTGGGGTGGTGTACATTTGGGGTACACCAAAGGTGTACCCCTAGCATATCCCAATCAAATACCCTAGATAAATTCAATTTAGTTCCTACTCTACAAGGGTCCAGAAAGTAGAATATAACTCTAAATAGGACTAAAACATAGATAAAAGTACCAAAATAGAACTTTCATATTTTTTTCTCCAAAATAGTACTCACACTGTGGTAATGTGGTTGTAATGTGGCATTGTACATGTACACATTACTATACTTTTTGGTAATGTACATGTTCATGTTTGGTAATGTAATGCATTTTAAGTTCTATTTCGATAATAAAAATATAGAAGTCCTATTTTGGTATATTTTCAATACTTTAGTCCTACTTTGGTCTTTCTCCCTCCACAAAGAGATACAATCAAAGTCTTTCAATTCCATATAGGTCAATGCTATTTCCAGAACTGAAGAAACGTAACTACTCAAAGTCTGCTCATCAACTCTTCAAATTCATGAATGAAGCTTGAAGTCTGCCATTTTTTAATCAGTCAGAAACGAGAAGAGAACTTCCAATACACAAGGCTAACATTAGGAACTTTAATACCAAGGTATCTCGTCTGAAACCAGTATAAACCCAAATCGATATAAACCCGAATCAAAATCGAACCAAAATCGGAAAAAAATTAAGTCGAATTTAACCCAAAATTGAACCGACTGGAACCAATTATAACATATATCCGAAGGAGACTCGAACCAGAATCAAACCGATTGACATATCTAGTCTCAATTCCCATAAATTAAGAGAAGTGTACGGGTTTTTTCATCATAGTATAATGTGTCAAATTGCATTAGTACTTTCCGTGATTTGAAAAATATGCATCAATACTCCTTGTTTCCAAAATATATTTTTAAAGTCTTTGAGGTTTCAAAACGTTACACCTGTACCCCTATGATTATTTTTCCAGACATTTTTTCGGTGAAAAGAAGACATTAGTGCCTATTTTCTAAATCATAGAGGGCACTAATGCTCATTTTATTATTTTTCATTTTCTTTTTGTTTTCCCCGTTTCTTCATTTATTTGTTTCTTTGATTAATTGAGTTTTTAAATTTATATTTAAAATTGTTTTTATAATGTTCTTAAAATTTAAAATTATTTTTGTTTGAAAAAAATTAACATATATTGCATCTGTACGTCTCAAGTTAACAATTTTTTTCTGAAATAAAAAAGTAAACACTTTTGTTGAGAACCAAAAAAATGAGGAATAAAATAAGAAATAAAATTAAATAAAAAAATGAATGTCCTTTTGACGTTCCAATTCTAAGGACTTTCTAGACATTCTGATATTCCGTTTTGAATAAGACTTTTTTGTTTGCATGTTTCAATTTTTCAATTTGTTTTTCCATATTTTTATTTGTTTATTCTTGATTTTATTTTTGAGTTTACCAAAAAAAATTATTTTAGAAAACAAAAAGTAAAAAATGTTTAATTTGAGATAGATGGAGTAAATGTTAATTTTTTTTATTTTTATTTCAAACACAAAGGATTTTTAATTTTTTAAAACATTATAAAAAAATATAAAAGAAATTTAAAAAATTTTCTAGGAAAAGGAAACAATGAGATAAAAAAATTTAAAAAAAGGAAAATAACAAATAATAAGCAAAAAATAAGAAATGAGCATGTGTGCCTCTATGGTTTAGAAAATAGACATCGATGTCTCCTCTTCGTCAGAAAATGACCAAAAAATGATCAAAAGGGGTGTAGGTGCAACATTTTGAAACCACAGATATTTTAGAAATAAATTTCAAAATTAAAACATAGGGGATACCAATTTTTCATACTAAAGAGGTCACTATAGTATGATATGATGCTTTACTTAATGATATGCCGTATATAATGCTCTTGATTGTTTTTCATTGTCATGACTTTCATATGTATAAAGGCATTCTATTGTGTGTTTAATTGTTATGTCTTGGATAAACATGTTAGACTATGAGTACCTAGATAATATTATTAGGAACATGATCAAATAATAGTGAATTATCTGAATGAATGGACTCTTATCCTATATGCTCAAATAATAGTCAGTATTTGTGATAACAAAGACATTATGCAGAGGTTCCTTCACTGCAAGGATGGCTACCAATCCATCACGGTATACACTATGTAGCCATGTGATGCCATTCAACATGGTTTCTAACCCGGGATGCTAAATTCAACGGTTTGCACGTCGTCTCGTATAGGGACGTGCAGGATCTCCCAACCGATGACTAGCCTCAGACCCACATTTGTTTAATTTGATGTGGTGTTCCTTGATCTCTGTTTTGCAAAATATTTTCTATTTTCCCTTTTGGAAAGGGAAATTGTGGAAGTTTGACCATTGTTAAACGACGATAATTGAAATGTGTTAGGCTCAGTAAATGTTAAAATGGGTAGAGCATATAAGATAGTTCAAGTAGGCTCGGTTAGATTTAAGAAAAAAGGGCAATTATGGCTGTGTTTGGAAAACGGCTTTTCGAATAACTTTTGGCATCTTTGATTGACTTTGACTTGTTTGATTTCTCGAACTGCCTTAAACATTGTTTGGCTTATGGCTTTTTTACTTGGCTTTTTGATCCGAAATGCCAAAATCCGAAAAGCCAAGAGGAATAGCATTTGAAGTTGGCTTTTAGAAAAATTATTTTTTAAATCATTTTTCTTGAAAGATACTCCCTCCGTCCATGTATGATCTTCCCATTACGCGTTACGAAACTTGACCGACTTTATTTTCAATTCAATTTAATTGATTATAGGAGTAAAATTTTAAAATAAAATTTATATAGTAATAAACTACATGAAAAGTTCTACAAAACTAGAGATGACAAGAATATATTATTTTATGAAATGACTAGTAAAATTGTGTAAACAAAGTGAGTAAAGTTTGACCCCGTAAATAGTGACTGGGAAGATCTATGGTGGACAGAGGGAGTATTTTATAATATATGTAAAAAAAGTTTAAAAAATTGAAAAATTAAAAAAAAAAGTTTAAAATTTCAAAAAAAAAAAGATATGAGAAAATAAAAAGTAAAATTCATTAAAAATTTATATATTAATAATTTGTTATGAATTACGGAGTATATGAAAATGAAATTTTATACTCCACATATTAACGATTTAATTTTTACATGTACAAAAATAAATAAATATCGTGTGTGTCTATATATATATATATATATATATATATATATATATATATATATATATATATATATATATATATATATATATATATATATATATATATATATATATATATATATATATATATCGAAACAGCTATTCTCAAACAACTAATTTTACCAAACATTTTTAACGATCAGTCAACTCATCTTGCTGGTCAAACCAGCTAAATTAAACAGCTATTTAGAAAAGCCGATACAAATAGCCAACAACCAACACTGACAGCCAACATCCAAACAAGGCCTATATCCTTTTAGGCCAAATTGATATCCCTTCCGTCCTAAAACTTTCTTCCCATTTCTATTTACAAGATTTGATCGACTTTAATTTCAATTCAATGTATTTGGTTGTAGGTGTAAAATTAAAAAATAAAAATTATATATTTTAAAACTATATCAAAAGTTCAACAAAATAAGAGGTGGCATGACTATATTATTTTATCAAATAACTAACAAAAATAGGTAAATAAAGTGATTAAAATTTGACTGTCTGAATAGTAACTGAGAACAAAATTTTAGGTCGGAGCGCAGGGCCGGCTCGTGGGTGGGCCGAGCAGCCCTACCAGACCCGGCCCGATACTTTAGGGGCCCAAAATTTTTAATATTATATATTCATAAAAATAATAAAGTAAATTCCATAAATGTTCCGTAATTACAAGTGATTTTCCATATTTAGTCTTCAATTCTTAGATATTCCATAAATGATCTTCAATTTTGAAAAATTATTCCATTATCAGTACTTGAGGTTATCCAATAGAACATATAGAGATTGTGTCTATCTTAATAAAACTTCCAATTATATTTAGAGAGAAAAAACACTGGTATCTAATATATTTATTTTATATTATAAAATTGTTCAAAAAAATAAATAATGTTGTTTATGTTTTATCTAAAAATCAATATGAATACTTTTACTTAAACAATTTTTTTCAAAAAAAACTTAAAAAATATTTAAAACCCATTTTTTCTTCTACTTTATCTTATTTCAATCAACTAAATATAAGTATGGAGTGTTACATACATATTACAGCATATTATCTAAGAGCACATTACCTAGCTTCTACTTTTTAAAAAAATATGAGCACTACTTTACAATTTTAGTATTTATTATATATTCATTATTTATCTTTTATAGTATTAAAAAATAATACAAATAAAAAATAGAAAGTGTGATGACATATGCAAAATGATATTGAAAACTAGATGGAAGAGTAAAAAAATACAAATTAAATTTCCTTATTTATTAAAAAATCTAATAATAATATACAAAATATAATTATTTTAATTATAGTTTACCAGGTCGTTGACCCACGAGTCGACTGATTAACCATTGACCCACTAGTTCGTCCGGATCGACACCCGGACTAGTTTCCAAAACATTGATTTGGGGATATAAGTATATGTAAATCCTTTACTATGATTTTCTAATTTACTCATTTTATTAAAATATTACTCCGTATTACGTTAATTTACTAATTATATACTAATTTTGGGATCTGATTGAGACATACTTCTTCCATCCTAGTGTATCTGCTACGTTTGAAATTTTTGATCAAACTGGATAAAATTTAAAACTTTAATTAAATAAAAATTGTAATATATTTTATATAAAAATGATGTTCTTAGATTTATCTCGTTTAAAAATTTTAAAATTTTAATTTATTATACTAATATGTAATATAAATTGAGAGTAATTGAAACAACGTATGAAAAGATTTATTATACTAATAATAATACTAATATGTAATATTTTATTATACTAATTTTATTTTCTAACTCTAATATTTAATTAGTCTTTATTCTAACGTCGTGCTCAGCATATTGTTTATTATGAAACAACATAGTGTTCATTATGAAAAAAATTTAAGTACAAGTTTCTTGTGAAACTACATCGATGTTTAAGTCACTAATCGTGTCATAACAATGCGTCACCTCATTCAACAAGATTGAGCTATCCATAGCTTCTAACAAGTAGGTTTCTTTGAATTTGACCAAACAAATTGTCAATTCTTAGTAAAGGGTAGCGATTCTTGATCGTCAGTTTGTCTGTCTAACAGAGATGTGATAGTATCCTGATCGTAAGTCAATCTTAGAGAATACAATGGATCCTCTAAGCTGATCAAATAAGTCATCGATACGAGATAAGGATAACGATTTCATTTGACGGTAGTTGACATAGAGTCTCATCGATCCATCTTCATTTGCATATTCATTTGAGATGGACTCGGTTGGTTTAGTATTCAGCTTTGCTTTCACCTCTATGAGGTTACCATCATTGGTCTTTAGTTGAAGAATTCTTCTTCAAGAGTTGTCAACAAAAACGCCATTTAGTGAGCCAATTCATACTAAGGATAACGTCAATTTCCTTGTATGGTATTTCAACGAGGTTTTGCAAGGAATTGTTGCTTAACGAATAATTTTGATTTACAAGATATAACGGAACAAAATACTTTATATAACAGGGTTTATTGATTTTAAACGTTCGTGTTTGAATCAGCGATCCAATCGTGTTTAGTCCACTTGAGGATCTCCAGCATCGGGTTCACAGATGTTCTTTGTAAAATCAACATTATTCGTTTCTTCAGAGTCATCTCACTTCCATGCAACTTTACGAGGCAGATCAGTTTCGTAATTCGCGATGCGATGCGTACGTTAATAAGGGATTAGAGAGTCATATATTTTTGGTTCACTCTTTCGTCTCCTCACCGAGTACGAAAATTTCTACTTGAGTCTACACTCGATATAATTTTAGAACTAACAATTTTTATTTAATGAGAATTTTAACAAAGTCAATATGTATCTAGGAAATTCTCATACCTTTCCTGGAGCAGATGGATGCGAGAGTCGTGGATGTGATTGACATTTTTTTTAATATCAAATTTTGATCCAAAGATCGGTTTTAAAACCATTTGCTCCGATACCAAAATTATAACACCCTAATCCGTCTAGGTCTGCAGCCCCATTCGGACTAAAGTATTTAACTTGGTAATCGTAAAAATTTAAACCTTTTCAAACACACTTTATTAATCCCAATAATATTTTTCAAAACATATACAGTATGAAGTATTCAACAATATTGCGGAAGCGATTTTAATATTGACATATCATAAAATGTTTCAAAACTTGTCACATCCATCCCGACAATCTCGCCCCATCTGCCGCCACGATCACATTCTGCTTTCTGCTTACCTGCGTGTAGCAAATAAAACACACTACACGCTCAGCGGTAAAGCTGAGTAAGCATATCTAATGCGTCGAACATCCATATAAACTGAATCTAAATTCATAATCAAATCATTTGATATCATGCACACAATGTTCATTTCAGACATTCACAATTTTGGTATTGTTCAGTTCATATCAATACATTTTATTCAATTCAGATACTATTTCAATAGTGCTCTTAAATTATTTTTAATCTAAGGCCAGATTATAACAATGTTCTTAGCTATTCTTAGTCTAAGGCCAGATCATAATAATGCGCTTAGCTATTCTTAGTCTAAGGCCAAATCATAATTTCCATAACCAGATTCTTTTAAGGCAATTATTAATCAGACACTTAAACTATCATTAGTTTAAAGCAATTGATTTCGGACACTTAACTGTAGTCAGTTAAGGCAATCAGACACTTAAACTATCATTAGTTTAAGGCAAATGATTTCGGACACTTAACTGTAGTCAGTTAAGGCAACAACAATATAGTGATTGGTCAACAATGGATCGGGCATTCCCAACGAGTAATCCTCTAGTTTGGTCTACGAATTCCGTTTATGATTTTATATCTAATTCATTAACTATTCATGTTTTCATAAGTTCATTCTAAGATCTATTCTAGAGGTCTTCTAGATAGTCTTAACATTAATTAGCTAATAGGTATATCTTTAAGTTCTTCTAGATATCCTTAACAACATTATTCATCAATTCATACTCTTAGTTCAACAATCATTTCATCTAGAATATTCATCATCATTAATCCATAATATTCATAAAAATGAACAATCAATCAATCATCATAATAACTAATAACAATCAACGGCCTAGCATCGAGTGTTAACACCCTAGCTTACCGTCATGCATCACATAAGATCCCTTTTAGTTGTTAAAATACCATCTTTATTCCAAGAAATCATCCTTTTATTAATCATAATGGTTTGATATCAAAATATAGGATTCCATAACTCAAAAATCATATTTTCTAAATAACAATTGATTNCCTCGAGCCAACTTGCGGAAATGTCACTTTTACTCACCAAACTTCAATTAAAGTATATAAAAATGTTCTCCAAGGTTCATGGATCATTTTAGCATCATTAATTCATAATTTTAACATCAATTTCATGGTTTATGATTCTTAGTTCTTCAAGCATGTCAAACACAAAACTCAACCAAATGACCATCTATGAACGTAGAATCGATCTATATGAACATTCTAGTCATTAGATATATCTACGGGCTTACTTCGAAGCTTAACGATGATTCTGGCGATTGGACGATGAAACTTCCGCCGAACACCACGGCTTGCTCCGGTGACTTTGGCGGCAACAAACTATTACAAAATGCTCTCCTCACTCTTAGGATTCTAATGGGATTAATTTTATAAGGAATGGTGCAGATTTGGAAGCTGTTTTTTTTCCTCCTTATATAGGAAATGAAGAAGAAGAAGACAAGTCCTGTAGCTGTAGCTCTACGTAGGAAATGAATTAGTGCGCTGGGAGGCGCCGTCTCCACAGTGTCCCTGATTGGGACCAATTTTGGTTCCAGTCGGGGTACACTTTTTGATCCAACTTTCTCCAAATTGAAATCCGTTCGCACCGTTGCGATCAGACAGTCGAATTCTATTCAACGATATACTTTTCATAATTATTTGTAATACTTTTTCCGACATCATATTTTTGGGTGGTTGACTTTGATAGAGTAAAAATTGATTCAGTTGACCTTTATTCAAGAAGGTTCTCATATTTAATTCATATTAATTATTCTCATCATTTATTTCAATAAATCATTTTAATGTTCACATCATAATTAATTTCTTCATTTATTCTTGATTTGGGTCTGTACTTAAGTTCCCAATCAAGACCACACAAATAGTCAATAAATTGAATTTATCTCTATGAGATTTATCCTGATTATGATATGGGATATCAAAACATATTTTTATCGGCCCAAAGCCCATAACAATTTATTTTAATCAAAACAAATTTGATTTATTTTAATAATTATCTATTAATAATTCTAAGGTATGTTTTGGGGCGTTACAAAGCTAGAGGGAACAATACGTTGCGCACCCACGTTAGGCCACGTTCCCGGATGGCACGAGGTAACTGCCTTTGTCCCTTAGTAGCTTGTCATTTTGCTAGGAAGGTGACTTCCTTGTCGCGTAGCGTGTTGGACAGATTGTGCGAATATCTTCAATGATCTTTCACTGAAAATCAGTCCCTACCGTTCAAATGACTTTGGAGTTATTCGTGCCGACACTTTTACACTGTAGTAACCTACCCGGTAGGTTTATCTTTTATGCTTTGAAGGGTCAAAAGTCCGCCAGCTCGAAATCATATACTCTGACCGTAAGTTCATATACGGTACCAGTCAACTTTTCCGACTTTTACCGGTGGCCTATTTTTAATTTAAATCTTCCATGTTGTCATGTCTGCAACCTGGCCAATTGCTTTATGCGGACCCGGTTTTGGACCAGGTCCTGGGTAAAATACACCCATCAATAATAATAATAATAATAATAATAATTTTTTAAGTTCGAATTCAAATTATTATTATTTGTATTTGAATTCAAATTTAAATTATTATCACTCCCTCCATCCTAAACATTCTTCACAGTTAGTATTCACATTATCGAACTTTATTCAATTTCTTTACTTATTTTTGTTAGTTATTTGATAATATAATATAGTTTTGACACTTCTTGTTTTTGTAGAAGTTTTGATGTAATTTTTTAAATATATAAATTTTATTTTTTAATTTTACACCTACATTCAAATAAATTAAATTAACAATAAAGTCGTTCAAACCTCGTAAACAGAAATAAAAAGATTATTTTAAGACAGGTAAAGTATTACTCTATTATTTATTTTTTAATAATTTTCCGATTTCACCTAAATGGATTAGACATGATCTAATTTGAATAATTCTAATTTGATCTAAAACCTATATAGATCTGATTTAATCTGAATTAGTTTGATCTGACCTAAATATTTTTTATCTGTTTTGATTTCAATAAGGATAAATAATAAATAGCAGAAATACTCGCATTGTCTCTTTTTATTATTCTTTTTAGAAAATTTAGGTGCAAAAGTTACTCAATTTCTCGAAAATAACCCCATCCAAGAGGACCGGGTCTGCCTTACCCCACCCCCACTCACCCACGCAGGCCACAATGGAGCACCCCGCTTGTGTTTTTGTTATATATAGGGAGACTTCCCGCATTGCATTTTTTCCTTATCGCCACCGCTTATGGCGGAGAATTCCACCAGAGCCACCCCATCAGCCACGGTAGCCGCCGCCTCGAGTTCAAATTTAGAGACCAGCAAGGCGGAGAGGCACGTCTGGTTAATGAAATGCCCTCCCATCGTCTCCCGCGTCTTACAGCAGCATCATTCTACTCCGCCTTCCGTCTCCACCGACAATATCTCTCCTTCTGATAGGCCCGTCGCCAAAGTCATCGTCGCCGTCGATCCTCTCCTTCCCAACGATGACTTCGCTTCCACTCAGGTTACCACTCAACGTTCGCATTACTCTCCATTTAAATCGCAAACCCCCCTGTTACCTTTTTTTTGCCCTGGCAAAAAGTTTGCAATTAGGGATTTTTTTTTCAAACTTTCGTTGCCCGATTTGTGTCTAATCTCTTAGATTAGAATGCGCGCTTTGTGTATTCACCATCTACTATGCCTTTGTATTGATTCTTGATTGCATTGCATGGATTCAACTACAAATGGCCTTGTTACCCTAGCTGTATGAGTGTGGCGATAAATTTCCGGCAAATTGGTTGTGTATGGTGGGAATAACACCATGGAGACTTTCTGGTCGATGAAATGACCTTATTTTTTTGTTTTTGTTTTCTGGTCGAGTATAAACTAGAGTATTCTTTGTACACCAAAATCTTATTTGCGCTATTATAATGTTTGCAGTACTGCCCCTTTTTTCCTAAATTAATTGTTTGCATGATGACTTCTAGTTTACTATGGAGTTGGCTGGTAGCGAACCTGGAAACATACCCAAATGCTATTCCATGGGAATGTCAACAGAATTTATTCCAATGTCCATATTTTCTGAATCAGGGCAGGGTATGTCTCTAATGATTTGTGAAATATGCTCTTTTGCACTTTGATGAACTTCAATATGCTTGGCTTAGACCGACTAGTGTAATGGTGTCACCCACCTGTTAAGTGTGGGAGGTATCGTGTCCAAATCCCACCTCCCCTCTCTTCCCTTCCCCTACCATGTTCCTTCTAGGCATGCCTTTGTCCAAAAACTAAAAAGTTCAATATGCTTAGTCATAAGCTTCCATATTTAAAACTATGTGACAATTTTGAAACAGAGAATGCATCTTAACTCTGTATTTTGCTTATAAAGTCTTGTTACTCATTCAAAATTATAAAATGGCAACTCTAAGAGGTGAGGTCAGGTAGATAATGACCTCTATCTAACCATGCCTCATATGGGTTTTCAAGAAATGGAGGTAAAGTGGGGTTATGTTTGTTAGGGAAGGAATAGTGGAGGTAAGGATTTTTTTCAAAATTGCAACATCCAAGCCGGTAAACGATCTGAGGACTCCCTCTTCAAAATACCAATTCATTGAACTCATTTCAGTAGCAACACAGGAGGCATATTGATAAAAACAGAATTGCTGGAGGAGGACGGGAGTTGGAGAAGATAATCAGATGAGAAGACTTGTGTTGTGATAGAGAAGAAGGTTTGGGATGGTGTTTTGGGAGCTAGGCTTGTGGATGGAAGAGGAGGCTGAGAAGGGGACACCGCTTGGTCGAAAATGACGATCAACGAGTTTAGGATTTTTCCTATTCTGGGAATTTTCTATTTTTATGTTGAGGGGTATTTAGGTAAAAGTGTGTTATTGCCTTCATTCTTGTAGTTTATCCAAACGACAATTTAGAATTACCTAACTTATAATTAACCAAGCACATTTTTTGACATAATAGCACACACTATTTTGCGTTGTATACCCTCACAGCCTCACTGACCTACCTAATATAACTACATTCACCTGATGCCAAATGATGCCCAAACAGAGCAGAAGCAACAAAACAATCTTGCTTATGTGATTCAAGAGCTTAAATGCCAAGTATCTGGGGGTTATGGTGAATAATATCCTGAAAAAAGAGCATCATCCAAGCATTTGCATGCATTGCATCTGTATTGGCTTCTTATCTGAATCTTTAAGATTAAATTGGGCAGATAGGGAGTAAAATGAAGAGTATTCACTTAAAATCAACAAGGAAGAAAGAAATATACTACTTGTTTACAGGTCAGATAGGACAGTGATGAGTTTTATCTCCTCTGTAGGAAGGCTTTCTGTGGAAGGGAAAATCTATCACAAGTTTGATATGAAGCCTCACAATGAAAACATTGAAAGCTATGGGAAACTATGCCGTGAAAGGACAAACAAATATGTAAAAAAAGATAGACAGATACAGGTAAAATCTTATCTTGTCTCTTTCCTCGTGTGGGCTACTTCTTTATCTTTACTTGATATAAATCTGGAGTGATATCAATTCTTTTGCAGGTTATTGACAATGATAATGGAAAGCATATGAGGCCCATGCCATGGGTTTTTTCTTCAAAGCCTTCAGGATCTGCGGCAGTAATCCACATCATCTGCTTATCTCACTTGGATAAATTTATCTATTTGATTTATGAGAAATGAGTGCTGAATCTATATTTGCATATAGATGCCAGTGCCATTAATGCATCTGCCTATTATCACTTTCTATTTTCTTATTTAATACTTCCTTCATTCCTAAATAACTATCTATTATGACTTTCAAGATACATTAAAAATCAAAGGAATGTAGACATAAAGTAGTTTGTCCACATTCATTCAAAACCTATTGATAGACAGTTATTTAGGAATGGGGGGAGTATAAAACAAAGAGAAAGAGAGAATGCCTGTGTTCCAGATTTATACTGTAGGAAAATTAGAGCTGCCTGACGTTTATATATTATTAGGAAAAGAAGAAGGCGTCTGCAAAAGGATCAGAGCTGAAGAGAACAAGAAGAGACCGTGGCGAGATGGAAGAAATCATGTTTAAACTGTTTGAGAGGCAACCAAACTGGACACTAAAACAACTTATTCAAGAGACAGATCAACCAGAGGTTTCGTTATCATATTTTCCAGTCTTTTTCGTTGTGAATGCAACTCCTCTAACCACTTGTAGTACCACCAATGTGAGACTGATCAACCAGATCACATGCTTTTCTTTTCTTTTTGTTTGTGTGTGTGGTGTATCTGCAGCAATTTGTGAAAGACATGCTGAAACTGCTGTGTGTGTACAACAATAAAGGGACGAACCAAGGGAGTTACGAGCTCAAGCCGGAGTACAAAAAATCAGAAGATTTGGCAGACTAATGAATTTGTCATCTCCCGCGTCTTCCTCCTCCTCCTCCTCCTCAGATGATCATAGACTTACATAACATTTTTGCTGCTGAAGTTGGATTGCTTTTGTAAATAAACTGAATTCTCTTGATGATCAGTAATCACAACATCAATCAATTCATTTACCTTATCTGAAGCCTGACGTGGCTGTCTTCTACAAGTCTTGTAAAAAATGATGCTTTATCTATATTCCTTGTAAAATTAGCTGGTCAAGTACACAAATTTTAAATGCACTTCTCCGTTATTAAAATTCACTTGTTTTTGCAAACCGTGTTAAAATGAGTTTTACATCTCTTGTTTGTTTTTATTAAATATGCTTTTCATAGTTGTTTTCCTTCTCTGTACAAATTTCAACCATAGGAATTGGAAGGGATCTTTGTACATTTTCACTGCTCTCCTCCGACCATACCTCAATTGTTACGAGTGTCTGCAAAAAAATTAGCCAAAATACACTTCACAACTCATTTATTTAAACCAGAACCGAGAGAGAGCAAAGAGGGAGGGAGAGGGAGATGGAAGGATAAAAATGGAAGAGGAAGGCACATTATTGATGTTATTCCATCATCAAATACAACAAAAATACAAAAGCTGCTGGCATCATATATTTAAAATTGATGATAATCTAAAACAAAAACCCAAAAAAATAATGACCCAACCAACCTAAGAGTCTGTTTTTTTTTCAAACTGCTTCCCTATCATTTTATCTGATCAATCAAATTACAAAAAAAAAACTATTGTACACCGCGGCAAACAAAAGGCGAGTTTGCCACGGAGGGAGGGGATGCTCTGCTCGGAATGAGTTTGCGTCTCCTCCCTCTGCAATAATACACTGCTGCTAAAACTACTACAACCTTCCTATTTCAGCCTTACTTTCCCTCGGCTGTCCTCCGAAATGCTCGGTCATGGCGTAGGGCACCTTCTTTATTGCAGCAACCACAGCAGGGTCTGGGGCACCCCCACTGCACTGCACTGCCCCTGCTCCCACAAGAATACCTCCTCTCCCTACAACATTAATGCCCATCCTGCCCTGCTGCTGCACACCTGACACTACCTCCGGCGTCATATCTAGACCACCCCCAAAATGCTGCCTTTCTCTGTTCTTGTGCGCCTGATAATCGGCTGCTACGCCGTTGAGGTTGGTAGGGAAAATAGGCACACTGCTCAGTTGTTCCATTTGGGCAGTTGTTGATGATGGTGGCATTGGGTAACTTCCAAATGCAGCAGGATACTTGGCCAACAGGATGGCAGCAGCTTCAGGGGGCAGGGCAGAGAACCCAGTTGGTTTCCTGTTCCTGTCCCCCCAATAACCGTAAGTCAACAGAAGATGGTTCTCAGAGGAGCTACAAATGCTGCCCAGAGGAGAAGAAACACCATCTGCTGACTTGCTGCTGCTGTCTTTAAGAGTGCTCCCTTCCTCCAGTTGTGTGCTGCTACTACAACTTGAGTTCTGTCTAGATGAGGGTGGTTTGCTCAGAATTTGACCAAACAACTTGAAATCGCCATTCTTGCATGTTTTTTCCATTTCTAAAGAACTATCATGATTTGAACTGCTGCTACACTTCTGAAGAATGCAACCTGAAGTTGAGAGCCTGCCGGATCTCCAACTATTTTTCGGGGCTCCATTCTCTTTTACAGTCGTTGACTCGGTCAACCTGTTGCAATCGCTACGACTTACATCTGAAATCTGCTTCTCCACAATCAAGGATGATTCCGAAATCATCATATTACCACCACCAGGCTTGGAGGAATTGAGATTTGCCAACTTACTATTAACATTAGAACAACACTCAGAAGCAATTATGATAGTCGAATCGTGAGAAGACACTGATTGAATAGGAACAGAACTATTGCTCCCCTGCATAGAGCTGCTGACATCAGATTTCATCCTAGTTTCTGATTCATCAGAATCAGCAGCCTTGGTGAGACAATCATCCATTCTGGAACCAGAGTCGGTGACGTCATCACACCCAGCTAGCTGGACCTCACAATTATCATTCAAACTACATTCTGGTAGTGGATTCCCCTCTGTTGAATTCTGGACAGCATCTACAACTCCAACATCAGTAGCATCACAAGAAATTTTCACGGGCAGACAATCCTTGACAGTATCAACTCCGTCACCTTCTCTGCAAGAGGGTGATGATATAAAACTTCCATCGCACAGCATATTTTTGTCAGTCATGTTTTCAACATCCCCTGCATATTCCAACTCCCGCTTGTCCACATCACACACATTAGAACCCAGATCTCCATGTCCATTATCATCAGGGCTGTTAAGGTCAGGCTTACTATCCCGGCCTACTGCTAAATCTGGCTCGGGACTCAGCTTTATCTTAAAGGGTTCGACATCGATACCTGATTTCTCAATACATATGGAGGGCTCAGTTTCAAGTAGAGAACAAGCACCCTCCGCATCATCACTTTTGCTGCCCCGATTGGCATCCCCTCCAACAGAACTGCTGGGTTGGATGCCAATGATTGCATCAAGTCCAAGACACTTCTTGGCCTTGCTAAAGAATATTTTACACTGGTCCATAGATCTTGTTTTGACAAATCTAGAGATCATCATAAAATCCTTCCCATAGGATGAGACGGCCTGAATGAAGGTAAGCTTCTCCTCATCGGTCCAATCATTATGATCCATCATCTCCTCACAACTTTCTTCAGAACATGTTTCTTCATCAGTGTTCTGTTGCATAACCTCGGGAGCCACAGGCAGCCTTATGGTTGAAGAATTCACTTTGTGGTGGTCAATAGAACTTGTAGTGCAGGAACTCATAGCTTCAGATGATAAGGAACCACATATTCCAGCCAACACATCAGCAGCCACCGTCTCTCTGTCACTGTTACATGCATCAACACTATTTGTCTGTTTGTTTTCACTTGTCACGCCAAGATGGTATTTAGGGGAACACATCTGAAATATGGCGCCATCATCAGCATTGGCTGCCATTGCTGACACTGCACCTAATATGTCAAGGGAAGCAGCATTTGGTTCGTAATTCGATCGTTTTCCAGATGCAACAAGGTAGGTAGATTTCCCTTGTTTTGCATAGCATGGTTTCATCTTGGTTTTCACAAAACAATCCGACTTGTGGTTTTTATAGTAGAATTCAATGCAGTCAGCTGTGGTTTTATGGTCAATAAAAGATGCTATTTTTCCGAAGTTTTTCCCAAATGTGGCAAGTTTATCAATAAAAATTTCTCTCTCCTCTGATGTCCAAGGATTAATCATTGACCTCTCTTTTTCAGAATGGCAGGGGTCTTCCACCAATGCATTATTTGAAATGAATCTTGAAAGCACCTTCTCCTTCTTGTCTAAAATCAGAGCTGGCATTCTCTCTGTACTCCTACAGGCCTTCACCTTGTTAGAATCTAAGAGCAATCTGCTTGTAAAATTTACCAAGTCCAGTGAAGGCTCTGGGTTTAAACTCCCAACTGCAATACCATAAACATGAAAGAAAATGAAATTAGAAAAACAAAAAACAAACACAGGACAGCTGTTAAAGAAAAGTCCACATAGCTTGTGTTCTAAATCTGAAAAGTCAAACCAGTCTGAATAATATGCAAGATATCAACTCAGAGAATCATCACCAACCATTTTTATCATGTAGATATAATCATGAAATAAATATAGCTTTACTGCTCTAGAATGAAATTTGAGGAATGTGAATGGGCTTCAGAAAAAGTAGCATGTGTATTTGATAGAACACTGAACTGAGGATCAATACTCCAGGATTTGCATTCGAACAATTTTGTACTAGGAATAGATGAGAACGCAAAAAAGAATATGTTGAAGGAGTACGGATGAGAGCAAAGTTTGGTAGACAGAGACCAAACAGTGTATAAGGAGACTGATGACAAAGCACCATAGGTTCATGGAAGATAGACACAGAAGACCAGAGAGAGAGGATATAATTTTGCTTGCAAAAGATGGCCAAAAGTGATAGAAAAGGTTTACCATTGCAATTTCAAAGTGCAAAAAACCAATGAACAGGCATCCAGAATTATGGACCAAAAGTTTAAATTAGATGGCCTCATGGCCCAATTGAAGATTTATCATGATGGCAATGCTCATTTTGAGTCACTAAAGTATCTTGAGATCTAATGCAACATCCAGGGGAACCAAATTCCTTTTACAATAAAACAATTAATCACAAACACTTCACAAAACACAGTTAGGGAACAGAATTGAATACAGATCACTTTTATCAAGCAGTTGAGCAGCAATCTTCAAAGTGAAGTTAATTTTCCCTACAAAGCAAGGTAAAGGTGATGATGCTCTATATACATAGAAATATAAAATAATTGGACCTTAGAATCTACCAACCTTCGAGCATGATTTATTCAATCAGAAATTGTTACACACAAAGAGAGACAAAAGGAAAATGGTATGTGCTCAACATAGTTTGTTAGTGTCCTGCAATGGATACAAATCACGCTATTCAATTTGATTCCGGACTGTTTGTATTGGAAATGGAAAAGATTCGGGTGTGTACCGCAGGAGTTGGTCTGATTACATATCATTAAGAGATGTGAAACAGTCTGACTCCCTGCTGCCCATTTGACCTCTGGGTTCTCTTCTGTGAAGCTGCATTTTCTGCATCTCCCACACCCTATGTTGTCTTCCAAATAAACACTTGAGCGTCCGCTTCCACCCAATCTCCTCTCTTGTAGTGCCTCACTACTTCCATGGTATTTTGGACTTGGGTATTAGTGGATGGACTTAATTTAATGTTTATTACTTCTTCAATAATGCGGTGAAACTCAAGTACTAGATTGTAGTAGTTTGAAAATTTTAACCGTGCTCTAGGTATGACTATCGTTATCCAACTCACTAAATATATGCTTCAGAACTGTACATAGGAATCAGATCATGATTCAAACCCCAAAAATTCATCAAATGATCAACACTTCGGAAACTATGTTGGTGTGCATCAATCAGTTGTGCCTTGTATAAAGTTTAACTAATCTCTAATTCCATTGAGTAACCCCATCCTAAGGCATGAGCTGATTAAGTACAAAAAACAGTCTTCATGAATATTGTACTCTGTTTGTATCATTAATAAATACCCAATCAGGCAATTAGGACTCCATCTTAAAATAATTTTGAAAATATAAAATAAAAGCTTCAGGATAATTGAGATACATTGAAATACAATAAATAAGAAGTTTACCAGAAGAGGGTCGTGAGCGAGAAGAGAGCCGGTGCTTATGATGGCCTACCAATACAGGACGTAGGCTAAGATCAAACTTGCGTTGAGCTTTTGTGCGAAACTTTCTTAATGAAAGAGTGTTGACTTCCTCCTTCCATAGATGATGAAATATCCTAAACTTGAGTGCGAGAACTTTCTCCTTAAATCGCTGTTGTCTCTTCCTCTTTAGAATTTTTTCTTTAAGTGCATGATCAACTGTCAACAAAAGACTAGGATCTTTCGAAATATCATAGCTGCAGTCACTTGCTGGCAATAAACGTTTAAATACTTCAGAAACTCTGTTTGCGGACTCCTGATTTGAGGCATATATTATATTACATGAAAGATCCCCATTACAATCTGGATTACCATCAGCAATCATATGAGAAGTTTCTTCCCATACAGATGCATTATTCGCAATTCCCTCTTCCAAAATAGGCAGGTCATTCTCCATGTCCAGATTTCCACAGTGTGTGACATCTGACTTCAATAGAGCTTCACCACATTTGGGCTCTGATACTGGTGCATCCTTGTCAGTTGGAGGGACTTTAACAAGTTTTGATGTTGCACTTCCCGGGCTATCAATATCCACAATTTTAACTTTGCCACCTTCAGCTGCACATGCATTATTTATCATGTCCACATTTGTGCGTTCAATATATTTAAAAAAACAGCTTCTAAGGGAATAAGTTGACGTAATGCATTGCATGTAGTACCTTGAACTTCAAAAGGCTTGGACCCACAAGATAGACCATGACACCCATGTTCAGTTCCAGAATTCAATGACTTCAGTTCGTTTTCAAGCATATCAATTTCAAACTCAGTTTTCTCTAAAACCTTTGACACGTCATTTTTCAATGATAGCAACTTGTTCAGTTTCGAGGATCTTATGACACCATTATCAGTAGGGCTTGGATCATCTGACCGCAACAATTCATTGATTTTAGCATTCAAATTGGAAATTTTAGGAACGTCTAAGCTCTCCAAGTTGAACACTACATCCTCAGGATGACTATGAGAGACAGCACTGGGTGATCCAAGCATGCCGCCTAAGTTGTGCTCAGCATTTGTTTCTTTCAAAAACTGTTTCTCCTCTAGGCCTGTAACAATAGAAGCACAACAAACAATTTGTGTAAGTACCTAACTAATAAGTAGAAATAGACATTAAGTGCATAAATTTTGGTTCAAAAAGGAAATTTTAATGAGGGAAGTAAAAATTTAAAATTAAAAAAGACATCAAACTATAGTTTAAGTACTACTCTGTAACCTTTTTTGTAACATTTTATTTTGTACTCCGGAGATATGTGAAAAATAAGATATACAAACTAAACTAGAGATTGAATTGAACATAGAAAATTTAAATTATAAAAATATACTGAAAAAATCAGATAAATAAAAAGTGTCAGTTAAGCATATGAATAGTAATTGAAAGCACAAATAGTAGATAATTAGATTATGTCAAACTCAACAAATTGACAATGGATAGAGTATGGATTTTTTATCAAAACTTTAATGTACATGTATGCATATTACAAGTTTACAAAGGTTATCCCTTGACAAGCAAAAACATGTGGATCCTTTAATAGCCCTTCTGTTTGAAAGTCAAGTATGAACCATTATAAATTATAAGAATAGCAATACTTCATGAGGAAACTAAACATGCTTTATAGACGACAATTCAATGCATTAATCACCTGGTGAAGAACTACAAGCAACTGATAAAGGAGTAGTAGGTGATGCACAATCAGAGGAACCTATGCCTTGAGGAATCTTATCGGGCAGGACTACAGAGCTAAAATGAGAAACTTCCAAATTACTACCAGAATTTACAGTACCAATCTTGATAGGACTGTCATCAGGTCCTTCAACCCTCTTCTTCTCATATTTTGCAAGTCCCTCCCCCCAACCAAGTCGAGGTTTCTTGCGTGATTTTGACTCTTCTAGAGGAACTGACGATGCCACACAGGCATTTGTGTCCCCAGAAGTGGACTGGATAGGTGTAAGATTTCGAGAATGCATCTCAACCGTTGTATCATTAGATACTAGTCCTGTGCTCTTAGAACTGCTTGAGTGACTAAAGGAACCTCGTGAAGACAAACTTCCTGGGCGTGTCCACTTGAGATGCTTCCATTCCGTTGATCCAAAAGAACTCTCCCTTTCATTCCTTTGCCCAATGCCTGCCAGTCCACTAGAGTTGCTCTTGTTTTGCTGATCTCTTGAGTGAGTTTGATCCCGTAAATTGATCGAATCGTTTTGAGGTTGAGCATGATGGTAATTCATCATTCCATCCCCAAACCTCTGATCACTTGGCTCGTTCATTCTTCCTGGGCCATTAGGAGATGCAGACTCCCAAGAATGGCTTCTCCAATCCCTTTGACCAAATGACCCCCTATTATCCCTACCATTTCTATTGTACCTTCCCTCACCTCGATAACCAGAATAGCGACCACTATCTTCTTCTGGAATCTTCTCATTTGATCTTGATGCCAGGAATTCATGTGCCGGTTCATCTGGGTACATATGCCAACCACCCTGCTTACTATGGCCTACAGCAGGATATAAAAGGGCCCAAAGAAGATTAAAAAAGCCAATAGCAGGAAATTACAACGTGCCAAAAGAAGCTTGGAAAGAACCCACCAAAGACATAAATTTGATATGTTGATATCAGTGAAAGAAAAAATAAAACATAAGGAGTCTTAACAAGTTAAGTTGCTAAGAAATATTAACAGCTCCAATGGACCACAAAAGGTATTAGAAAGTTAAGCTGTTAAGAAATATTATAGCTTCAGGAACCTCAAAAGGAAACGAAGTAAACTTTGTAGATCTACAGTTATCCGATTAATAACTAATCAGTGATAAAGATTTAGAGATAAGCTCATCAGATCTGGAATCAGATAGAGGCATATATCTTTCTTTCAACTGCCCCACATCTTGATTCAACCTAAACCCCAAATTTTCACTAGCATATAAACAAGCAAGGATCTAAACCGGATGAAAACATATGCCCAGTTCAGATTATTCCCATGACAACCCTCAACACACCCATCAAGTTTATATCTCCTGCAACTATATTATGAAATCTAAAAAGAAAGATTTTGGGAAATAAAAATAATAGCCGTGGCGGTCTACCACTGCATATGATTTAACCCCCTTTAGAAACCAACCCCACCCCCACCCCAAAGAATTACTGCGAAACCGCATCTCCTCCGAAAAAGAAACGTATAAACAACACAGGCAACGAAAATGAACTCACCAGGAGGAAATCTAGGTGCCCAGCGAGACGACGAGCTGTAGTGGTGGTTATTCCCGGGATGCTCCCTCCATCTGGTCCCGCCTCCAAAACCACCAGGTCCGCCGCCTCCTCCTCCTCCACCGATAAATTCCGACCGCTCGTGGTTCCTCTCCCTGAAGAAGTCCTTCCGATCCCAAGGCGACGGCTCCGGCGGCATCAATAATTCTCCCCAATCCTAATAATCCTCCTGTCCTCCTCCGCTTCAATCGCATCCCCCACTCCACCTAAAAGCCTACCCGAATTGAAAACTAGGGTTAGGGTTTGCGCAGAGTGGACCAAATCCCACTTTCTCCCTCTAAATAAATACTAAAGAAGAGTTTTTTTCTCTCTCTACAAGGGGAAGAAGTGCCTGTGCTGCTGAGACAATAAGAGAATGTGAACAAAAGAGAGAAGAAGAAAACGAAAACCATAGAGAAAGATCGGATTTTATTTTCTTTTTAATTTCTCTGTCGATGAGAGAGAAAGCGTATACAGTAATGTGCGCGGATCTCACCCGACCACTCAACCGTATTTCACTCAAATTTCGCGTCCGCGAGCACAAACTTTTTAAATTTCCTTCGATTATTGCGAGTGGGAAAAAGTATGTGGGAGAAACTTAAGAAAATTAGAAATTAACTGAAATAACATTAAAATATAGAAAAAGTACAAAAATATTATTTTTATGTTTTATTTTTGAAAAAAAAAAAAAACTGTGATAATGTGGAAGTTATGCGGCACTGTATACGTACGCATTACTATACTTTTTAGTAATGTACATGACCACGTTTGGTAATGTAAATGCATTTATCTCTTATTTCGGGAATAAAAACATGGAAATCCTATTTTGGTATATTTTTAATGTTTTACTTTTACTTTAGTCTTTTTCTCAAAAAATATTGAAAGAAACTTGAATAAATTAGAAAAATTAGAAAACAGATAAACAATGTAGGAAAAATGAAAAATATTGAAATAATATTACTTTCATTCTAATGTTTTTTCGAGTTTGATTTCTTTGAGTCAAACTTATGAATTTTTTGTTTCAACTTAATAAAAATTATGATGTAAAATGTAACCCATAAATTGGTATAAAAATTATTTCTTTGTTTTTATTTTGTTGAAACCTTTAAAATTTTGATTTCATTCAATTCATGAACAATTAAAATTGAAAGTAATTAATGATAAAAGAGTGTGCACTTTAAATAAAAAAAATCAAACTTTACAAATACTTTGGATGAAGTGTGTATTATATTTCTGAATTTTTATATTTAAAATATTTTATATTCCATTAATTTTAGTTAATCTATTTTTGTTTCAAACCCCATGTATAGTAGTGATATTTCTTTATTCATACTTATTACTTCGTATTATTTTTCTTAAACTTTTCTAAATTTACATTCCACTAACTCATGTACCAAAAATAGTGAGAAAAAAACAATATTTTTTTATTAATTTTAATCATCAAAAATCATTTTTTAATGTTATTAACTCTATTACAAAGTAGTATCTGTTCATAAATCCAAAGTCAATTTGATATAAATAATCTGGGGATATTTCGATCAACAAAGACAAAAGTATAAAGGCAAATATCTAGTAAACTAATTCATTTAACATTTTAGTATTTTATATTGACTGCAAACAATATTTTTTAGGGCCGGGGGAAATCAAATACGCTTTTTTTGTAAAAATTATGATGTTACCTCAATTTATTTTTTATTTTAACTACAAAGGTGATGGTGGTAATGACAATAATAGTAGTAAAAATATTATTATTATTATTATTATTATTATTAATCAGAGTAATAACAACAACAACAATAGAAAGGCCATGTACGATAGAAATGTCCTCTCTAGACTTGATCGTAGTACGGGTTGGATCTAGCCAAAATGCTACATTACGAGAATTGTCTAGCTTCGAGTCCAAGCCCGGCCCATATAATGTGCTTAACAACTGAAATTCGAGCCCGGTCCACATGAGCACCAGCGGGCTTTGGCCATCTTGGTCTGCAGCAATAACTTCTAAATAATTAAAAGTAATACTCTGTAAATTTTTCTAAATAAATTAAATGTTTGATAAAATAACTATAATAAGTATATCAAAGAACCATTAACATATTATTTATTTAAATATCATTATCAATGTGTGATACGAGGTAATAAAAATGTATTCATTTTATTAAATGTACTTATAATTCCTTTTTCTCCATAGACGTATGTATGTGTGTTTATAATAATTTGAAGCAGTATTGTTATTTTTATTATTAATAGTATTAATATTGTTGTTGTTATTATTTTATTATAATTATACCAATAATAAATACTATCATTCATTTGCATCGGGACGCGGGCTTGATCGTAAAGCCTGAGCCCTGGCCTAAAATATATGTGCCTCCATATATAAAGCCTGAGCCCTGCCCATAAACTAGAATGTCAAGTCCAAACCTGTTATTTTGCGAGTGACCTTTTGTGCCTGGACTGGGTACTAAGCCCGTGATGGGGTCTAGCCATCTCTGATGGACTTGATAAATTCTTGGGTGACATTGACAGTGATTGTGCAATAGGCCTCGCCAATGGTTGAACAACGATATGTAGTGGGTGAACAACTTGCTCAACAACAAACTTTGTAGAATTCGCAATAAACAAGGGATGTGATTACGCCTCCGCCTCCACAAGGTGTGTTGAATAACGCGGGTCAAGTGAACCAGCTCCAAGTTTAGCAATGTCCACAAGTGGTGTATCTAAGGGATGAGGTTGAGAGGCATCCGACTATCGTGAACGAGGTTCACCATGTCACGTCCGCTACTTCAAGACACCACTTTCGTGAGGAAAGGAATGTGATTGCATGAGGTGTTTGTGTTTAGCAGGTAATGCCCCGATTTCTAGGAGGCAGACACTTTGCTGATCTAAAATTATACATGGTCTCCCACTTTAGAACGAAAAAAGAAATGATGTCAAGCACAGAGACTCGATAATGAGGAGTACAATCGTTGTAATGTCCCAAAACACACTCTAAAATTATTATTGAATTATTATTCAATTAAATAAGTTTCTTTATTAAAATAAATTATTATTGGGCATTGAGCTGAAATTGAATGTTTTGCACTCCAATGTCACAATCTTGATTGTTTTTGTGATTTTGATTAGAAACCAGAGTACAGATCCAAAAATAAGAATAAATAAAAAATTTAATTTATGATGTGAACTTTGAGATAATTTATTGAAATAAATCATGAGAATAGATAACTTGAATTGAATATGAGATCTTTTTAGTAAAAGATTAATTAAATCAATTTTGACTCTATTAAAGTCAAACACCCAAAAATCTGGTGTCGGAAAAAGTATTATAAATAAATCTAAAAATTGTATCGTTGGATATAGTTTGACTGTTGGATCGTAACCGTACAACCAGAATTTAATTTGGAGAAAGTTGGACCAAAAAGTATACCTTCACTAGGACCAAATTAGTCCCAATCAGGGAGAAGCGTAAGAGATTGAAATTGAAACGCGGCCTAGCGCACTGAGCCATTCGAGTGATTAGAATGTTTGTATAGATTGTTTCTACGTTCATAAACGGCCGTTTTGTTGAGTTTTGTGTTTGACATAGAGAACCAAGAATCATAAACCTTGAATTTGTTGTTAAACTTCGAATTATTGATACCAAAATGATATATGAACCTTGGAAAACATTTCTATATAGTTTGTGACACCCTAATCCGTCCAGGTCTGCAGTGTAATACCTTAATTTGAAAATAAATGGATTGGGCAAAGAAAAGACTCAAAAAGGATTAATAGTACTACTCATACCAACAAGGTGCATCTTCTTTTCGAGAGCTCATTACCTAGAAACTCCAAAGTTAAGCGTGCTTGACCTGGAACAATTTTAGGATGGGTGACCCCTGTGAAGTTTCCTTGGGCGCGCACGAGTGAGGACAAAGCGTGCGGGAAAGACTTCTGTTGGTTTGTGGGGCCAACCTACAATCCTATGAGCAGACGCTTACGGCTAGGATGGGGGGCGGGTGTTACATGCAGCCCCTTCCGGACTAAAGACTTAACTTCGTAATCATAATAATTTAAAACTTTTCAAACACTTTTATTTATCACAATAATATTTTTCATAACATATACAGTACGGAGTATTCAACAATATTGCGAAGGCGATTTTAATATTGACATATCACAAATCATTTCAAAACTTGTCACATCCATCCTAACAATCTCGCCCCATCTGCCGCCAGGATCCCATTGTTCTTTCTGTTTACCTGCGTGTAGCAAATAAAACATACTACACGCCCAACGTTGAAGCTGAGTAAGCATATCTAATGCGTCGAATATCCATATAAACTGAATCTAAATTCATAATCAAATCATTTGATGTCATGCACACAATGTTCAATTCATACATTCATAATTTTGATATTGTTCAATTCATATCGACATATTTTATTCAATTCCAAAATTCAATATTATTTCAGCAATGCTCTTAAATTATTCTTAATCTAAGGCCAATTAATAACAATGCTCTTAGCTATTCTTAGTCTAAGGCCAGAGCATAACAATGCTCTTAGCTATTCTTAGTTTAATCCTAGAACATAACAATGTTTTTAGCTATTCTTAGTCTAAGGCCAGATCACAATTTCATTCTCATACGCTTAAACTGTTACTAGTTTAAGGCAACAATACTCCGACGCTTAAACTTTGATTAGTTTAAGGCAACTAACGATTCTCAGACGTTTAAACTATAATTAGTTTAAGGCAACAACAAGACAGTGATTAATCACCATTGAGTCCCAGTATTTCCAAACGAGTGATCCTCTAGTTTGGTCTATGAGTTCCGTTATTACGTTTTATCCAAATAACTAAATATTCATATTTTCACAAATCCATTCTAATCTGAGATCTATTCTAGAGGTCTTCTACATAGGCTTAACTTCAATTATCTAAATGGGTATATCTTAGAGTTCTTCTAGATAATCTTAACAATACACGTCATTTCATAATTATCAATGTATTAATTTTACTCATGATTAAATCATCCATAATCATTTTAACAAGCAGGTTCATCATTCATAATCATCCATAATACTCCCTCCGTCCATGTATGATCTTCTCATTACGCGTTACGAGGCTTGACCGATTTTATTTTCAATTCAATTTAATTGATTATAAGAGTAAAATTTTAAAATAAAATTTATATAGTAATAAACTACATGAAAAGTTCTACAAAACTAGAGGTGACAAGACTATATTATTTTATGAAATGACTAGTAAAATTGAACAAACAAAGTGAGTAAAGTTTGACCCTGTGAATAGTATCTGGGAAGATCTATGGTGGACAGAGGGAGTAATTATTTATCATAATCATCAATCAACATAACAATCGATAGCAAATAGCAGCCTAGCTTCGAGTGTTAACACCCGAACATACTGTCATTTGTTAAAAAATCATTTTTATTGTGAAAATCATCTT